TAAGCAGAGGGATACATCAAAATGGACACAGAAATAGAGAACACAAAGCACATATACATCTACACAGGAAGAGAGAGAGACAGACACAAAGACACACAGGAATATTCACTGATAAAGGCATAGACAGAGATCAAAATAAACAGAGACACCCAAATAAAAATTGATTGAGCACAGTTGAAAAAGCACACATACAAGAAGAATACAGGAAATGACACATAATCAGATGTATATACACAGTTTTATAGAGTGAGAAAGTCACATTTTTAAAATACAGCACAAACACATAAAGAAAAAAATACCAAAGAGAGAGATGCAAGAAAAGATGTGCAGAAAGACTTAGCAACATGGGATAAAAAACTCAGAGAGAAGACACCTTTCATAAATTAAAATTCTTAAAATATGGTTTTTAAACATACACGTACTAATGATTTTTAAATTATGTAGCATTGCCACCCCTAGAAGCAAAAGTTAAGGTAATATTTCTTGCTCTTCCTCTGCAGATCAGATAAGCCAAAATCAAGACCCATATATAATCACAGACCTAAATTTATCTCTTTATTCTGGAAAAAATACTAAAATTTGAGCCCTACTAATAAAACTCTCACTGCTCGCCCGCACTATGCCCCCCATCCCCAGCCAAAAAAAGCACAAAGTTTGATTTGGCTAGTCAACATACATGCACCAACAATTTATCTATTGTCTTTTTTTATTTAGACATAGTCGTGGAGTATGAAAAATAACTTTAAATAAGGTGTAAGCCCTATATAGAGAACCACAGGTCTCACTAAAGCTACATCTATCACCAAATACTAATGCCAAAATGATACCAACAACTGTTAATTTCTGAATTACCACTGAGAAGGAGAAAAAGGAAAAAGTGAGACAACAGCTAAATTAACTTACATTCCCATCAACAGTGTATATGTGTTTCCTTTTCTCTTCTGTTTCATCAGCATGTGTTGTTTTTTGACTTTTTAACAATAGCCATTCCAACTGGTATGAGATGGTTGGAAAGCAGTCTGGAGATTTTTCAAAGAATTTAAAACAGAGCTATCTTAGACCCAACAATCCTATTACTAGGTATATACACAAAAGAAAGTAAATCATTCTACCAAAAAGACACATGCACTCATCTGTTCATTGATGTGCTATTCCCAATAGCAGAGACAAGGAATCAACCTGAGTGCCCATCAATGGTAGATTGGATAAAGAAAATATGATGTATATACATCAAAAAGTACCATGCAGCCATAAAAAAAGTATGAAATCGTGTCTTCTGTAGCAACATGGATAGAGCTGGAGGCCATATCCTAAGCAAATAAACGCAGGAATAGAAAACCAAATACCACATGTTCTCACTTATAAGTCGGACATAATATGGGAACAATAGAAGCTGTGTGCTACTAGAGGGTGGGCAAGGAGGTTAAAAAACTACCTAAAGTCGGACATAATATGGGAACAATAGAAGCTGTGTGCTACTAGAGGGTGGGCAAGGAGGTTAAAAAACTACCTATCAGGCACTATGCTCACTACCAAGGTGACAGGATATGTACTCCAAACCTCAGCATCACACAATATTACCATATACCAAATCTGCACATATATCCCCTGTATCTAACATAAAAGCTGAAAATTTTTTGAAAAAGTGAATACTAAAAAAAAGAAGCAAAATAGCAACTGAAAATCAAGCATCTGACAGGATTACAATAAAGTTCATCTAATTTGTTACAGTTCAAGTCTCTGAGAAGAAAGTTCAAAAACCTCTGGTTGTTATAACCACCTTATTACTGAGTTTATCAACAGTGTGGAAATTCTATCAAACACTCATCGATCAACTATTATGAATGGCCAAAAACAAGCAAACAAAAAGAGGTAACTAGAAAATCATCAATTCAGCCTTACCATACAAGATGCCACCAAAGTATTGCAAGGATGCGTAAATATTTTGAAATATGTTTAAATAATGTGTCCTGACTGCCAGTAAAATTTTTTTTTCCAAGAAAATGTTATTAAAAAATGTTTGGGCTATCCACGAATGTTTTCACAAGCATTCCTACCAGGCAACTACTGAAACCTCAGAAAAAACCCTGGCCGACAGAAGAACTCTTAAGAAAGAAGCACTGAATAGAAGGTGATCTAAGGAAATGTAGACAGGAATATTTGAGCTATTAAGATGGGCCAGAAGTAAATGCATGTTTCATGAAAGTATTTGAAACAAATAATTCTGGCCGAAAAAAACCAAACACATTTAGACAGTGAGGACACACCCAACAAAAATGTTTGTTTGTTGATGCTAACATTTTATTTTGTGTGTACTTGCCAGAGCAGGAATTGACCAAAATAAGATAAATACAAACATCTCACAGAAGGAAAAATTATAGTACATTTTTAAGTGTAAAAAAGATGAGAAAATGTGCTTCCTGAACATAGAGCAAAAATCAGATATTTATTACTTATTTAAAGTAATAACAACTTTACCAGCATAAGACCAGAAGCACAAAAAGTACTTAAATATCAATTATATTATACATTACTATAGATTTTACATTCATAAAATGCTATATCATTCCTTCAGTTAACTCATATAACACTTCTCTGAGACAAGCTGATAAGAAATATTATTATCCCCATTTTACAGATGAAATTATATTTGCTGGATAAGCCTGCTCTTAGTCTCTTACATCATGTTTGCCTCTTGGCATTATAAAATATACTTTCAAAACACGATTTTTGTTATTTTAGAAAAAAAGCTTTATGGCATATAATATTGACAAGTATTAAGAAAATAACTTGTAGGAAAATATGAAAGCTTATTTATTAATGCATTTCTTTAATTACAATTGTTAGAATACTTGCCGTCCACACTTTATTTCTTTTGAAATGGAGTCTCGTTCTGTCACCAGGCTGGAGTGCAGTGGCATGATCTCAGCTCACTGCAACCTCCGCCTCCCAGGTTCAATTCTTCTGCCTCAGCCTCCGAGTAGCTGGGACTACAGGCCTGTGCCACTAAGCCCAGCTACTTTTCGTATTTTTAGTAGAGGTGGGTTTCACCATGTTGGCCAGGATGATTTAGATCTCTTGACCTGTGATCCGCCGCCTCGGCCTCCTGAAGTGGTCAGATTACAGGCATGAGCCACTGCTCCCGGCCCACACTTTATTTTCATCCTATATCATAATCATCATCATAAGCCCTAAAACACATAAAGCCCTATTTATTTTTCCAATTTTCTTTCTTAATTTCTTGATATAAGCTGGACTTAAATCATAAATGTCATATAAGGAAGTTCACACTTGAAAGAATTTTCTCTTATTTGGCTTGCCTAAGTTTCCTGATCTCCTTTCACATTTGCTTTTTCTTTTTTCCCTCCCACCCCTTAAATGCTGTCAGTTCATAGGTTCTGGCATCAGTTTGTCCTTCCACACTATTTTGCTAACTCCAGGCACTTACTTGCAGGGCTTCCACTGATCCCACTAAAAGGCCATGGTGGGTTGACAGCAGAAGGAGCATACCTTTATTTCTGGCCCCACTTGTCTCCCAGCTCCAGTCCTAAATTTCCAAGTGTATGATGGAGGTCTCCACCTGTTCCTCATTAGTACATCAAACTCAAAATATCTAGAAGAATATTCAGCAACTTTTCACCAATAAACCTAACTTTCTAATTTCCATGATGACAATATTCTTCTTCTAATCACCTCTTTTAAAAAATCTCCCCAACTCCTGTGTCTCTAGGTCCAATTGCTAAATCCTATTGATTTTTACCTACTCAATATCTATAACACTTGTATTAGTCCATTCTTGCACTGCTATAAAGCAATACCTGAGGCTGGGTAATTTGTAAATAAAAGAAGTTTAATTGGCTCACAGTTCCACAGGTTGTGCAGGAAGCATGATTCTGGCATCTGCTTGGCTTCTGGAGAGGCCTTAGGAAACTTACAATCATGGTGGAAGGCAAAAGAGAAGCAGACACATCTTACGTGACCAGAGCAGGAAGAAGAGAGACAGGTAGGAGGTGCCATACACTTTTAAACAACCATATCTTGTGAGAACTCATTCACTACACAGTACCAAGGGGGTATGAACCCCAAATATCTAAGACAGGTCTCAGTCAATTCAGAAAGTTTATTTTGCCAAATTTAAGGACACATGCCCATACAGCCTCACAAGGTCCTGGTCCTGACAACATGTGCCCAAGGGGGTTGGGGACACAGCTTTGTTTTATACATTTTATGGAGACATGAGACATCAATCAATGCATGTAAGATGTACATTGGTTTAGTCCAGAAAGGCAGGACAACTTGAAGCGGGAAGGGTGCTTCCAGGTCGTAGGCAGATAAGAGAAAAACCAAATGATTGCATTCTTCTGAGTTTCTGATTAGCCTTTCCAAAGGAAGCAGTCAGATATGCATTTATCTTAGTGAGAAGAGGGATGACTTTGGAAAGAATGGGAGGCAGGTTTGCCCTAAGCAGTTCGATCTTAACTTTTCCCTTTAGCTTAGTGATTTGGGGGTCCCAAGATTTATTTTCCTTTCACATTTTACCCCTTTTATTTTTAAAATCATTCTGAGAAATCATTTTAGAAGAAAATGAGTCTCTGGTCTCAGGTTTCATCTGATCTCTCATGGCTAGGATGGTTTATTTCTACAAGAGTAGGTCCTGCATTATTAGAAAAGCTCGTTTTTAGAAGGTTGTGATGTCTCATGTCCTATGAAGAGAAAATAGGGGGAGGAAGGGAGAAAAAACAACAACAAAAAAGAACAATCCTAGAAAATCAATGTAGGTCATATTACTCTGAAGTCCATATATCAGTAGGCAGTTGTGAAAGTGGCTTATGTATGTAAATAGGTTGCTGTTATTTTCTTCTGAAGTTTAAGTTGTCTACCTTTAGTTCACAGGACTTTAAGAAAAGCACAGCTTAGTTTCCAGTTATTTCAAATTAGGAAAAATAGGAGAAAAAAGAAAAATAAAGAAAAAAATTGAAAACAATATTTTGGAGACTTACCACCAGGAAAAATTTCAGAATTCAGTCCAACTGTAGAAAATAATAAAAATTGAAAAACATTAGGCAAGTCTAAAATCTAATGGCAGGTGCACTATACTTTTTGAAACATAATTTTTCTCTCTTCAGGTTCCTATTTTTACTAAAGCAAATCATGGTAGGACTGATTTACTTTTTTTTACAGTTGGCCTATTTGTATAAAATACAGCAAGAATGATTATTTTTCACATAGGCTTTTTTAATGGAACTTTGTTTCATAGAAGGAATCTCAGATAAGACTTTTTTAAAGTCTTTGTTTCTCTCTAGGGATGTTCTCTAGAGATGTTCTCTCATCTGGGTGGGAGATTTGCAGCTGTTATGCTTTCCATGGTTTATTCTTATCTTGGGTGATATTGAAGTCAAGCTCAGCCATGGCTTTAAAGTCAAGCTCAGCCATGGCTTTGTACCATCAAATGCCTGTGAGCTGGGTAAATTCCTCTCCTCTTGAGATCCCAAGATAATTTGGGTCTCCTGGACCTATCAGAAAGTGACGTTCTTTACTTACCACAGGTCAGGAACCCTACACAGGGACTGTGTAGACAAGGTATGAGACCATTGTTCCCAAGGGGCTTTTATTGGCTCTATTTAAGTTTGATTCTATAAAGTTTGATTCTATAAAGGAAATCACACCATTCCAGTAAAATCACCAGTTTCTCCAATAGTGTCCTGTTGCAAAATAAAACATTCTTATTGCACTTATGCAAATAACCATATTGCCATAAGTTAAGAATACTCACAAATAGTTTCCACATTCTAGAGAAATCAGGTTGAGACACAGAAATCCAAATTTGTTCACAGGAGCATACTTTACTCAATCGCGACAAGCTGTAAATAACTCAAAAGCAAAGTTTTCTTGACTCTGGAAAAGAAAACAAAGAATAATCAATGTTTCAAGCTTTTTTTAAATGATTACTTCACTCTTCTGAAGTATTCGGTCTTTACATCTCTCTTTACATCAGTCTGTGATTATATTTGGGTCTTGATTTTGGTTTATCTTGATTTGGAAAATAAATAAGGCTTCAGTCTTCTATTAGTTTAGTCCATGCAGTTAACTCCTGTTCTGCTTGACATTCATGAATATTCCATCTTTCCATGAGAGTCCTGAAAGTTTTCCTACATTCTAATGTCACAATCTCCAAAGTTATCAGAACCCTGCATTAAAGAACAACTTTTAGAGCTATAAAAGCTGATTATAAAACCACCTTCTAAAGAGGACCAAAACAAGAAAACAATTGTCCATGGATGACAAAAAGCTTTAGTGCACCCACAGTCAAAGACACAACTGACAAGGAAATTTATTAGTTCCGTGGCACACAATAACTTAACATAACAATTGTAATTATTACTAATAACATACACTAAGTCATATCAGAAATATAAGTTTCCCACAACTTTAAAACACATACCAATAACATATTTATATTAATACACTCTAAAGAAAGCCAAACACCATCATTTCATATTTGACAGTACTTCCTGTAGGATTTTTATATCAAATAAATCATATATGTCATTTTTGGATTTTAGGGAACCTAATATCTTAAAGGAATAATTAGGTCAGAAAAAGACATAATTTATAATTTGATTTTAGAAAGTTTGTCAAATATCAAAGGTTTAAAATGCTTGATATCACAAAATAGGGTCACAGGTCATTGTAAAATAAGTCATTAACTTAACCAAAGTGATAATTCAAAGATTACAAAAACAAGGTGAAAACTGTTATTCTTTGAGACAGGAGACTTAATTTTCCAAATAATAATCCCAAATAAAAACAGCATGAGGCCAATTAAATTTATTTTTCAAACTTTTATAAACAATCTATAAAATTTTAATCATCTTGACCATAAGATATAATTTCTATAAGCCTTTTATAACCTTTATAACCTTTATTAAGGAGTGGATTAATGTTTCAAGGAAACTTTGTTAATATGACATAGGGGCCCATATACTGGTCTTGCATCAGTGTGCCTTTGACGTTAATGGTTAATTTATAGAGAAACTGAACTTATTTTATGTTTCAAAATTAGCCCTTACAATATCACCCACCTCTTCCACGATAGTCCCTGATCCTTAGGAGTTTAATATCTTTAATTTCTGGTTTGTGTCTCACAAACCAGATTTATTTTATTGGCATCTTCTACTGGGTCTGAAGATGACACTTTAACTACTGTCAGTGTTAAGATTTAGAAGGACTCGGTGTCCTTTTTAGACCCAGGAGTCAAAGCTCTGTAACTTAATGGCACAAGGACTTTAAAACCACATACAGAAAGTTACGCAGATGTAATAATCTTAATTTTAAGAAAAATTTTTAATCTCTGCTTTTTCTAAGCAAACCAAACTTAGTAATAATGGCATAGGAATTATTTTGATAAAGTGTAAGATCTAATTATTAGGACAGTTACTCAAGGGCAAAATAAAAGACCTTCTGCAGTGCAACTGCTGCTCCCTATGGGGAATATTATGTTGGAAGAAAACATTTCCTTTAGACTTCTAAGATAAAACTTTTTCTTCTTTCTTTCTTTCTCTTTCTTTCTTTCTTTCTTTCTTTCTTTCTTTCTTTCTTTCTTTCTTTCTGTCTCTCTCTCTCTCTCTCTCTCTCTCTCTCTTTCTTTCTTTTTTTTGCATCAGGTCACAACAGTTAGAAACTGAAGGAAAAAAAAACTTACAGGAACTGGAAATAAGTTAAAATATAGAGTTTGATTTCAGGTCTCTTAAAAGAGGAGAGAAACCTGAAAACAGCAAGATACAATAAATGTTAAAATTTGCATTAAAAATTATAATGTCTTTTAATTTATTAAGAGTCGAGCAATGCCTTAAGAAAATGTCATAGTTTGAACAAATCCTTTCATGTATAAGTGTGTTTTTTTAATCAAAACTCAATCTCTAGAAAGACCATTATAGCTTTCCTCTAATTATAGACAGCTTGGTCACATAAAATTTTTTTTCTTTTTTAATAAATCCTCTTATTACAACTTACACTGACCATTCATGACATGCTTGGATATTCTGGTTTGTCCTGAACATCCCTCATTTTTAAAACAACCAGTTATTTTATTCTAGGACAAAATTTACCATATAAGCTTCTTTGGCATATAAAGTTATTTTTCTTTAAGCTTTTTTACCAAAAATACCTTTTTAATTATATTAATATAACTTTCTTTACACCTCTCTTATTTCCTGGTTTCTTTTTCGTTGTTGTATACATAACCTTTAAAGAGGCTTTGAATTAGACAACAATTATTCACCTTTTAAAAAGGGCACACTTTTTTGGAAAGAATGTTTTCCTACAATTTTTTTTTTGAAAATACCCAATTGATGAAATATCTGTTACTTAATTTAGACTCTAAATTATGATGTTTGTCTACAAATATTTATCCCATTACATTTACCTAATTATTTTAATAGTTTACCTAGATTATTTATGAAATCTGCAATAGTCATCATTTAAAGTTATGAAACTATCACTGCAAAATTATAACTGGGACAATGAAAAAGATCTGACACAACCTACTCCATCTAGCTTTTAACCCCCAAGCTGTCCTTGTTCCTTTCTGGGCATTGGATGAACTAACTTTGGGAGTTACTTAGTTTATAGTTTAGTTTTGAAACAAAGATGATAACAGTCCTTCACTAAACAAACCCCCTTCCTGCCTGGGGACTTGACTGCCTAAAGCTATAGATTAGAAGTTATGGCTATTTCACTAAATAATTCAATATTTAGCTATTTTCATTAAATCAATATCAGCCTCTTATTTATCAAAAATTATCCAAGCAGAGGGGCAGTTCCAAGATGGCTGAATAGGAAGAGCTCCAGTCTACAGCTCCCAGCATGAGCTACACAGAAGATGGGTGATTTCTGCATTTCCAACTGAAGTACTGGGATCATCTCACTGGGGCTTGTTGGACAGTGAGTGCAGAACAGGGGGTGCAGCACACCGAGTGTGAGCCAAAGCAGGGCGAGGCATCACCTCACCTGGGAAGCACAGGAGTCAGGGAATTCCCTTTCCTAGCCAAGCAAAGCTGTGACAGACAGCACCTGGAAACTTGGGTCACTCCCACCCTAATACTGCGCTTTTCCAATGGTCTTAGCAAACTACACACCAGGAGATTATGTCCCACGCCCATGGAGCCTCACTCATTGCTAGCACAGCAGTCTGAGATCGAACTGCAAGTCAGCTGAGGCTTGAGTAGGTAAACAAAGCAGCTGGGATGCTCGAACTGGGGGAAGCCCACTGCAGCTCAAGGAGACCTGCCTGCCTCTATAGATTCCATCTGTGGGGGCAGGGAATAGCCAAACAAAAGGTAGCAGAAACTTTTGCAGACTTAAATGTCCCTATATGACAGCTTTGAAGAGAGTAGTGGCTCTCCCAGCATGGAGTTTGAGATCTGAGAATGGACAGACTGCATCCTCAAGTGGGTCCCTGACCCCCGAGTAGCCTAACTAGGAGGCACCCTCCAGTAGGGGCAGACTGACACCTCACATGGCCAGGTATCCCTCTGAGACAAAACTTCCAGAGGAACGATCAGGCAGCAACATTTGCTGTTCAGCAATATTCGCTGTTCTGCAGCTTCTGCTGCTGATACCCAGGCAAACAGGGTCTGGAATGGACTTCCAGCAAATGCCAACAGACCTGCAGCTGAGGATCCTGACTGTTAGAAGGAAAACTAACAAACAGAAAGGACATCCACACCAAAACCCCATCTATACATCACTATCATCAAAGACCAAAGATAGACAAAACCACAAAGATGGGGAAAAAACAGAGCAGAAAAGCTGAAAATTCTAAAAATCATAGTGTCTCTCCCCCTCCAAAGGAATGCAGCTCCTCACCAGAAATGGAACAAAGCTAGATGGAGATTGACTTTGATGAGTTGAGAGAAGAAGGCTTCAGACAATCAAACTTCTCCGAGCGAAAGGAGGAAGTTTGAACCCAGCGCAAAGAAGCTAAACACCTTGAAAAAAGATTAGATGAATGACTAACTAGAATAACTAGTGTAGAGAAGTCCTTAAATGCCCTGATGGAGCTGCAAACTGTGGCACGAGAACTATGTGACAAATGCACAAGCTTCAGTAGCCAATTCGATCAACTGGAAGAAAGGGTATAAGTGATTGAAGATCAAATGAATAAAATGAAGTGAGAAGAGAAGTTTAGAGAAAAAAGTGTAAAAAGAAACAAACAAAGCCTCCAACAAATATGGAATTATGTGAAAAGACCAAATCTACATCTGATTGTTGTACCTGAAAGTGACAGGGAGAATGGAACCAAGTTGGAAAACACTCTGCAGGATATTATCAAGGAGAACTTCCCCAACCTAGCAAGGCAGGCCAACATTCAAATTCAGGAAATACAGATAATGTCACAAAGACACTCCTTGAGAAGAGCAACTCCAAGACACATAATTGTCAGATTCACCAAAGTTGAAATGAAGGAAAAAATGTTAAGGGCAGCCAGAGGGAAAGGTTGGGTTACCCACAAAGGGAAGCCCATCAGACTAACAGCGGATCTCTCAGCAGAAACTCTACAAGCCAGAAGAGAGTAGGGGCCAACATTCAACATTCTTAAAGAAAAGAATTTTCAACCCAGAATTTCATATCCAGTCAAACAAAGCTTCATAAGTGAAAGAGAAATAAAATCCTTTACAGACAAGCAAATGCTTAGAGATTTTGTCACCATCAGGTTTTCCCTACAAGAGCTCCTGAAGGAAGCACTAAACATGGAAAGGAAAAACCAGTAGCAGCCACTGCATAAACATGCCAAATTGTAAAGACCATTGATGCTAGGAAGAAACTGTATCAACTAACAAGCAAAATAACCAGCTAACATCATAATGACAGGATCAAATTCACACGTAACAATA